TAAAAAAAAAAAAAATAACGGGTGTAAAATGAGGAAAATCAGGTTAAGTCTCATGGTAACAGTGTCATAATGCATCTTAATTAGTCCTTAAATAGGCCTCGTGTTCTGTGTGTAAAATATAATCTGCTGTTGTGTTATGTTGACTTGGGATGAGAATGAGTCTTTGCAGCGCTCTGAAGATCTGTGTGTGTGTGTGTGTGTGTGTGTGTGTGTCTCTGGGCGTGTTTATTACTTCAATCACTCCACGAGTGCGAGGGGGGGGGGGCGGCCGAGGGAGCGGATCAGGGGCCGACGGCGTGAGCGAGGTGGAGAAAGTGCGCTGCTCTCACCTGCTGGTCAAACACAACCAGTCACGCCGGCCGTCCTCCTGGAGAGAGGAGAACATCACACGCAGCAAAGAGGAGGCGCTGCAGCTCATCCACAGTAAGTGTGTGTGTGTGTGTCTGTCTGTCTGTCTGTCTGTCTGTCTGTCTGTCTGTCTGTCTGTGTGTGTGTGTAGACGTGCTGTGTGAGGTACTCTTATGAATTCAGACACGTGTGTGTGTATGTAGAGTACATCGAACAGATCAAGTCTGGCGAGGAGGACTTTGAGAGCTTGGCGTCTCAGTTCAGCGACTGCAGCTCGGCGAGGAACGGAGGAGACCTGGGCTTGTTTGGCAGGGGTAAGACTAGAGATACGCCAATAACACACCCTTACCAGATTATCAGCATCATCTTCTGTCTGTCTGTCTGTCTGTCTGTCTGTGTGTGTGTGTGTAGACGTGCTGTGTGAGGTACTCTTATGAATTCAGACACATGTGTGTGTATGTAGAGTACATCGAACAGATCAAGTCTGGCGAGGAGGACTTTGAGAGCTTGGCGTCTCAGTTCAGCGACTGCAGCTCGGCGAGGAACGGAGGAGACCTGGGCTTGTTTGGCAGGGGTAAGACTAGAGATACGCCAATAACACACCCTTACCAGATTATCAGCATCATCTACCAGTGAACAGCTGACAGAATGCTTTAACATTGAGTAAATGTTGCGTGAGCATTTATGCAACATACAGCGTTGATGTAGTCACTGCGTTAAACTAAACGTAACATTAATCTAAAATACAGCAGTAACACTTATACGGTACGGTTTCATTTGATAAATACCTTAGTAAACATGAACTAACGATGAAAAGCACTTTACAGCATTTATTAATCTCAGCTAATGTTAATTTCAACATTAACTAATACAATATGAAAGTCCAAAGTTACATCTGTTAATATTATTTAATGGACCTGTGCTAATGAACTAACAATGAACTGTCATGTTTTTTTATGAAATAACAGTAACAAAATACTGTAACAAATTGCTCATTGTTAGTAAATGATAGAAAATGCATTAACTTACGTTAACTAGTGGGATTTATTGTAAAGTGTTAATAATCTTAATATATGTGGGGAAATGATATTATGAATGGTGTTTTGTAACATTGATTTTTTTTTTTTGTATAATATTTTAAAATGGTCTTTTGTGTGTGTTTTACATTCAGACTTCATGACCTCTTTAGCTTGAATTCAGTCTGTTAATCTGTTATCTATTGTTTGAGTGGGTTGGGTATTAATGGAAAGCTGGTAAATGTGTTTTTGAAGAAAGAATTATTAGTGTTCTGTTGATGATTTTCAGAATCTTTGTGATTGAGTGAGTGGGATTTAAGAACTTTCTGTGCGTACAGGTGATTTGTAGGCACGGGGAATTTCCCTTCTTTCACAATCTTGGGTAATTCTTAAATGTGCCAAAACAATGTTTTACCTAAATGTCTTAAAACGGACTTTGACACTGAGGAGGAGCCTGAATGTCAGATATTTAAAGCAGCATGTGTCTCCTCTACAACTGGAGAACACCCAGTGGTGAGTTGCTGGTTTATTCTTCAGCATTTTCCTAAAAGCCTGTCTGGACATTCAGAAGTTTATATCATTTTATACAAAAAGAACTAATCCAATGGAATGATATGTTAATTAATTTTCATCTCTAAGGAAAAAAAATATTTCTGCTTTGATCTACTGAGAAGAAATTG